TTTTGTGACATTTATATAATAGTATGACTTCTATTTGTATAACATGTATTGTATTATTATGACTTATTCTACATCCTATGTCATCTGACTAACTTATGGATCCATGGAATGTAAAAAAAATGTATGTATGTATTACATACACATTTAATTAACATCTACAACTGTTATCTGAAACTCTTTTTGATACAATATATTTAAAAAATACAATAAAATTTGTTCTATGCAAAGAATGCATTTGGAAATTCATAAACTCCACACTTAATTACAAGTCACTAACTTAATATTGCACAATCACCAAATAAAAGGAATAAAAATAATGAGCAGGAGAAACCACTGTTATTGAGGAAAACATAATTTGTCACTCTCATTAAAATACAGTAGTTGTAGATTAACGCATAAAATTTCAAAAGGAAATTACTGGGAATAAATATAGCCTTTTTTAAAAAAATTCAAAACTATGTAATATTCTACTTATAATTTGGAATGCATTCACATTTTGTTGATATTTCTAGCTGATCTTACAGCTCAGAAAATCTTAAATTTTGTAATAAAAATATATCATGAGAAATGAGTTCATGTACTTGATAGGAAAATTTCACAAAAGATACCACCGCATGGACTTAAATGTAGATAGGAGGTTAACAGTAAAAGAACTCATACAGAAATAAGGTGTGAAGGTTTACATTGGATTAAACTGCTTCAAGATAGGATTCAGTGGTTGCGGATATGGCAATAAACCTTCAGGTAATTACAAAGTAAGGTCAAAATATTCCAGGAAATTTGAAACTGCTTCTAAATAATCCATATTTCACCCTTCAATACAGGTGGTGACAGTGAGGGGTGTCTGGTTCACTGTAGAAAAGGTCTCGTTTCAGCTTTCTCATTGCTCAGTTGTGATGGTGGCTGAAACCGAAACACATCTGTACCTCTCAGCACACTCAGTGTTTATTTTTGTTTCTGCTTGTGTGTATTCACTAAGTTATGGTATTAACTAAAAGCCATTTAAGTCTGAACATTCATCAGATTTGGTGTTTTACATACCTCTGCTTATCAACATAGGCAGTGAGAATGGGTGACAGAAAAAATCTTGTTTCTGCATGCATATTTGCTCAATTTCAAGCATAAGGGAATTTATTGACCAGCTGAATAATTATCATCTGCTCAAAAAAGATTCTATGCTATCAAATTAATTAGAACTAAAGGAGGACAATTTTCTTACCCAAGGGTTTATATGCAGACAGAGTGATGAAAATCTTCATTGCAGGAAGACTGTATTTGTGACTGTCTACTGTGAGAAGAAACAGCAGCTGGTCCATTGTGGAGTCATCTTGAAATGCCAAATGTGGCATTAAATAAAAATATTCCTGATAACAAACACAAAATAAAAAATATAATTGTTTCATATAAAATATTGCTTGGCAGATTAACATTAACATTAAATTAGAAGAAATATTTTTGGGAATGTGAAATAAATGTAAATTTCAATGGTCAGTATTTAAGGTAATAATGTGAAGCCTCTAAGTTATGCAACAGTAGAGAATTTATTGAAAAATCAAAGTATCTACAACTGCTCAGAAAACACCCTGAACAAGGAACTTCAATTTGGTTTTACTTACTATCAGTGAACATCATCTTAAAAGAGAATAAACAATATGATAATAACAGATAATTTTCTCACATACCATTTACTAATTTTGTATCTTACTTAAATATCAATGGGCAGCCAAAGACAATCTTCAATAATACATGTTACATACATCTCGTTTATTCAGCAAAGCCCACTCCACACACATAATTTAAAGTAATAAGGTCAACTGGCTTACATTACTATTGCAATATTATCTTCATATTTACTATCCATGCTCTGATATTAATCATTAAAATACACAGTTCCACATCGATGTAATAACTAATGGATCCATTATTAATAAATAACTTATAATGACAGACAATGATGATACATTAACTACATGTAATAGAAAATATATGAATAGCCAGAGGATAACATAGTGGTATCAAAACTGGTAATGCAATAAATTGTTTGTGTGCAAAGAAATACATGCTTAAAGTTTAACATGTTCTAGATCTTGGCACTAGATGTCAAAGCAGTCAGCTTCATGTTCCAGCGATTTTAAACCTGTAACAGACATAGTGGCAAAGAAAAAATGTGTACCAATACTAAGAAATAACCTTGGAGCCAGTCACACTTCTTGCGGGTTATGTAACAAAATATGCAAAGAAAACGTACATACAGAAGTTCAACTGCTAGTTTTCCCACTGTGGTCCTAGCTAGGTGAAGGTCCTCTGCTATGTCACTACTAGTGACACAGTTGATCACCAACTTCAGCAATTCCTGAAGCAGAATGACAGCTCAATTAGAAGTGCATGTTGGAACTGAGTTCAAAGGTTATGTAACGATGTATTGACTGCAGCAGTTACAAATTGTCAAATAAGGTGTGATATCATTGAACACTGACCTGGGATTCACTGGAGCCATTATAGAAAAGTAAGATATTTTAATTTTACATTTTATAACAACTACTTAATTATATGAAAATTAGTACAAAGATAGATCATAAATATAGTTGCAAATTTTGTATGATGAGCCTGGATAGATGAGTCAGTAGACTGACTGTCTGTAAGCTACATTGCCAGTGTTCAGTTCAATTTCTAGCAGGGTTCTGTTCTTCACTACCATACCCAAACCAGTTATGGCTATCGCTATCTAAATGATACTCACAATTATTTCACCAAGATTAAAGAGACTAAATTTTGAATCTGACCACACATTTCCATCAGGTTAAGCATATATGGAGTTTAACGTCCACTCTCCTGTGTGTCTTCATCATATAATGCTTATGCACATAGACATTTTTATCTTTAATTTACAAATTTTGCATAGAATTTTTTTATAATAAATTGTTTAGGACATGGTGGTGAAGATAGAATTTGAAACCTGGCCATTTTGTATCTTCCCATCATTTACCATATCATACCTTAATAGTCCCTTTATCAACCAAGAAACAAGCAACTTTGGCACACAAACTCTTCACAATCAGGATTATTGATTCCTTTGTGAGAACACTTCGTTTTAAAGTTAGTGATCTCTTCTTACTCTCACTTGTGTATGTAAGTACATCCTGATTTTCTGACTGCAAAATAAAGTTGATTTAAACAAAATATATTTTATAGACTTTTCATTGCAAAGTGTACAGTCTAATAAGTCTTTAAATAACAGATCCTCTAGAGGTAGAACCTGAAGATGCATAAACACTAATACCATCAAATGCAAATGAACATTATCTTCAGCCACTGCCAGCAACCTCGTACCCTCACAATAAGTTATACTTCCATCTTTCTATTGCCCTTATGTGCCCATGCATTCTGCTTCCAGCTACTGAACAGAAAATTTAATTTTGGTCTATACTGATCCAAGATAACATTTTATAATTTGGCAAATATTTAACAAATAAAATGGAAAATAATTACTGATTCTATTCAGTATGTTTAAGTTGCAAACATCTATATTTATCATAAATAAATAAATATCAAAGACCAATGAAGAAGGTAAAATACTAATGAAAGCACATTAAAGATATGTGTAATCCACTGGAATACATCCCTTCTCTTAACTTTCTTTTATTTCTCTCACCCTCTTTTACCCTTAGGTGTCGAGGTTTTTATTTATTTGATTGATCTATTTGGACAATGGTAGGACTCCTTGGATGAGTGATCAGCCCGACGCAAGGCCTCTACCTATACAAACACAGAAAGACACGGACAAACATCCATGCCTTGAGTGGGACTCAAACCCATGGTCCCAGCGGCCAGGCGCACGAGGTCCATGCCTCAGACTGCGTGGCCACTGCGGCCGGCCCTTCTCTTAACTTATCAGTAAAAAACATCATTTTCTGGGACTCCAATCAATCTGTGAAACAGGAACATATGACTTTTGCAGCAGCTACATTGGGTAATGAAACTAAATGTCTACTTTATAACTCTACATTTTTAACAAAATCCTAAATTACATAAAGTATATAAGCTAATAGAAGTTTGTAAAGAAAGATGAGAAAGGTGTACCACATTTGATTACACAAATTCTTCGTTTCTTGTATCTCATTAGCCTTGATATTTCTTCATTGTAGGTGCAAATGTACAGTTTCACAGCCAGACATGTAATACATGCCACACTCGAGAGACACAAATCATTGTCCTTGTATTTCATTAAAAATTCACCATATTTATAATTGTTTAAACTAAATGTTTTAGACCTTAACGATATCTCTATTTTATGTAGTATTGACCGAAAAATATTTGTTACAAGTTAATTTTCATAAATATCAATACATTTCAATTCAGGCATCATGTCAAGTAAGGATTGTAACTAAGACATATAAAAATTAAATTTGTTCAACAGTGTAAACTTAAATTCCAAATTTCAGTGAAATCCATCAAGTAGTTTTGTCAATGACACATGCAGGACAGTAATGACATTCTCATTATGCAAAGTATGTTTAAAAAAGAGGGAGGTAATTTCAAAGAAAAGAACAGTTTATTTTATTTGATAAACAAAAAAGTGAAAATGAACTTATTATGGAGAAGAACTTAATCAAATAACAAAAATAAAAATAGCTGATAGTCTAAGTCAGTCAAAAAATCAGTTACATTAGGCCAGTGATCAACTTAGATACAAAAGAGTAAAATTATTTAAAGTCCACAGTCTCATCATACACGGGTGGAGCTAATACAGCACTCACCCACAGACGTTCATAGTCCTCACAGGTGTTAGTCTCATTCACATAGTTCTGCAAGAATTCAAACAGTTTCCTGTTTGTTGCCAGTTCCTTCACTAGCAACAAAAGTCTATGATGTGCTTCCCTCTGATTCCCCATAGTCAGAGAGAGCTTCCCTGCTAACATTTCTCTATGCCATTCTACTTGTTTATATGGCAGTTTATCATCAGGAGGCTGTTGGTACAAGGAGAGGAGCTGCAGTGTAGTTCCATAAGCTCTAAAAGCACATCATATTTGTCCACAATCAGTTGCAATTAAAGTTAATTTAAAGCATTAACCCACTTGCCTAAAAAAACTGAGGTAAACTACAAATACTCAGTACTGACAGCTTTCCTGTGGACTGAGAAATGAACACGTGGGTTTCAAATATGAAGCGGGTTTTCGAACAACTCAAAGATGACAAATGGTTGCTGATAGTAAATATAAATTAAAAGATCCATATTACTCTGACCTTCTCTTTAATTCTTGACTGTGATGAAAATTGGTGCGAGATTCATCATCAAACAGACACCACAACTGCAGAAGTTTCCACATCCTCTGGTCTGGAGGCAGGTTGCATGGTACCAGACACTTCACAATCACCTTCTCAATGTGAGGTCTATAAGGACACACATAATGCAGATCACTTGAAGTTCACTGTTTTAAAAGCATTTAACAGCATGTAATACATCATTCTGTTAAACTCTGCCATGTTTAATGCTTATCCCTTCTAATGCTGAGTTTATTTTCTCTCTAAATGATATCATGTTCATGCTGTTTGAGACTGGGATTATGGTAAAACAAAATGTCAACCTCAAATCCAACTGGAAAAAATGAATCTAATAAAACTGAAATTTTATTAATAATGTACACAGTATGAAGTCTTTGAATGTTATGTGTTACTATTAAAGCTGACTAAAAATAATACCTGTCGCTCAAAACTAAAAGTTTGTGACGATGGTGCGTATAAGAGTTTAAAAATGACTACAAAAATGATCTTGAAATGTTTAAAGGTCTCTAGGCAGCAAACACTTGGTCTGATACCACACATAATCCATCAAAATATAACTCAAAACAATCAAAAGGAAACCAGATATAACACAACCTAAAATAACCCAACTCAACCAACATAAATTAACCTAATTTAATGAAACCTAACCCAACCTAACCTAACCTAACATAACCTAACCTATCCTTACCTAACCTAACCTGTTGTAACTTCCTCAAACGTATAGCAAAGTATCAAAAATTAACCGAGACGAACGTAATATAACGTAAGCGTACTGAAGCGTGACTTAAAGACCACGCGTGCCCAAGCGTGACAAACCCTGACAAAGCGTGACCTGCGTTGACCTCGTGACAAGGGATCACCATAAGTTTCCAAACGTGACAAAGATTTATAAAGTGTGACCAAGCGTGACTACGCGTGACATACTGTAACGGCGTGACGAATTGTGGTTATAAGTGTCAAAACGTCACAAAAAATTTCAAACCCTTACGTAACCTAACAAAATCCACTAAACAAACAACCTAACCTAACCTACTCGTCCTCAACGGAGCCTAACCTAACCTAACCCAACATAACCTAACACGTGACTTGAGTTTCATCATTTAAGCACTTTCTTTACAGTAAATAAGCGCCTGAATAAATTTCTTCGAAAGTAACTTCAAAAACATTTAGTTCTGTATTCGGGAAACTGCTGGGATGGTATTGTCGTGGCATAGACATGACGTTGAACTACACGTGCCCTCAACATGAAATTAGTTTGGTCCTTCACAAATAAGTCATTCGGCAGAAATAAACGTTTGAAAATATGACCTTTGAAATGAACTTGAAATTTTAAATGTCACTATTCGACAAGTCGTTGAACCAAGATTGTCGTGACATTGACATGTCCTAGGCCTACCTGTAAACTCAAAGTGTCGTGATCATCATTCTCAACGTACATACAATACGACAGATATAGGAGTTTGAAAAATTGACACTAAAGACATTTAGTTCACAGAAATCATTCACAAGAGAGATAAGCCTTGGCTGTAATGTAACACAGCAATTCAAAAACTGAAGTGTAATTACACATATATGAACTGAAATCCCATAATTTACTCTTTGATTTTGTACCAAAAATAATTAATTTACACCAACAACAACAATTCATAATATGAGCTACATCTTACCACTGTACTAGGCACATTATATATGACAGTTAATGTGAAAAAATGACTAGTATACTAGTATGTCAGATGACAATGAAGGATCAGTAATGAATAAGAGGAGCAATTCACAATTTTGCAACTTACATGTAAATATTCAGATCATATGGAGCAATGTACAGATGCATCAGTGTATTTGCAATCCATATGGCTTTCATCATCATGCCAGGAGAGTTGCCATCAGTAATCCTTCCATATAACAGCCCCAAAGTAATCAGTGCTTCTTTGAGCACAATTTCCTGTAAAGAATTAACATTCCCTCACACATCCTGTTCTTCCTCATTCCTATAGAGCTTTATGGCAAGGTGCTCAGACACACAGACTTCAGCTGTACCCTTACTTGCATAACTGTTCTCGTTGCACAACTTCCATCCTGATATAGGGAGATATAAATGATTCTCCAAAACTGTGTTTAGTGGGAGACAGAGGCAGAGCACCCTCCAAAACCCTTCAGAGAAAGTTTTCCTTAAATTAAATATCACTGTGAGGTTCCCAGAAAGCATTCATGCTATGAAAGCAGTGTTCTTATGAAGACTAATATATGAATTGAAATAAATGTCAGTTATTCACCAACACAACAAAAGAACATTTAATTTGACAAAGCATGCTTCATGAAACAGCAGGCACCAGAGTCCATTGAATAGTTTTTCTTATACAGCTGACAAATTAAACCCTTTCTAACTTAATGTAAGTACTCATGTAATTATTTCACTTTATTGGAAAATGTTTTCAGATTAAAACAAGAGAGGGATAATTACACACTGTTTTTTTATAATACTAAATGGTCAAATAAAAACACAGTCTAGGAATAATGGAATCTTGTAAGTTATACAACTTGTAGTTTAAACTGTGCTATATAATGTTGTGGACTAAAGTCAGCATTGCTCTGTGTATTTACTTGATTCATTTACTGATATTCACTTTTGATAAGTAATTTCTTTAAAATAGGCCTAAAATAGTGTGTCATAAAATTAGAAGGCTCATCAGTTCCACTGTTGAGTATGGTGTTTAGAGGCTGTGCAGATTTATTTGATGGACACATGTAGTGTTACAATATGAGAGTACATGGAAAACCAACACCTGCATATTGACTCATTTTCAATAATTTAAGTGTCTCCAAGCAAGGTAAATATGTAGTTATCAACCACATGAAAAGTCATGATTCTTAATCATTACATTAACTTCAATACAACAGAAAACATACTGAACTAAAAGCAAAGTGATTAAAGCAAAGAGACATAGTTGATATAAAGATAACTTACACTTCTGTCACAAAAACTATCCTTCAAAATATCAAGAAGAGCTGAATGGTGCAGAATATCAAGGTTTTTCTTTGTAGCCTTGTTTATAGCTTTCACTACACCAAACCTGATTGTAGTCTCATTGTCACATGATCGACGCTGAAGGATGTGGATTATATCTTCACACAAATCAGGCTGATTGACCAGGAATTTTGGTGCCCACTTAACTATTAATGATCGCCCAAATGACGATGGTTCATTCACACTAGATGAATACAGACACAGACATTGTTAAAACATCTTAAGAGGCATTATTCAGAGACTATAAGTTGTCAACTACTTGAAGCCATCATCCATGATCACATATTTGGAACAGATAATAGTTATTTTTTTACATAATGTCAGTCTGGGATGTGTTTTGCCCTGGCTTCTTGATTTTGGTAATTGGATAGGTATTATAAGCGTATCTATCAGAAACAGCTTCCAAATTGCTAGATCTTTGTCCACAATTGTTTTCCTAGTTTAGGTCACAGCCAATATTTTCTCTGTACTTTTCCAGTTCATTATACACAGCCTTCCCCTCATATCTTTCAACATTAATAGCCTTTCAAGTTGACAGAATGTCATTAAAGCCAACCAGACTAAATATCTTCATAACAAAAGCAACAGCACTCCCCTCCCCATAATAAGTCCACTATGCACCATATTCTATCACAATTGATTCTGATACATACCAATTTTTAAAATTGTTCCAGAGGCGTCTATATTTAATAACAAAGTCAGAATCCACTTCAGAAAACATGTGTGCCAGGAGTGTGAGGGTAATTTTCTTGTTTGGACTGTCTGAATGCTCTAACATGAAGACCTCAAGCTGATTCCAAATGCCCAGAAGGATAGTGGGACAAATGTGATGTAGCTCAAACATCACTTCAAATTCACGTCCTCTAATTCTTGTTTTGATAGG